ATCTACTGTTTTGTTAATGATCAAGCATCAAGCTCCGATCGGAAGGAAAGTTTCGGATCGCAAGTGCGTCGTGTAAACTTGCACAGAATCGCATCCGAGGTGCATTTGACGAACGAACACGATCTCAGTGCGGTCGTTCAGCCATGAGCGGACGAAAAAGGTTTCTGCAAACTCTAAAACGGGAAGGTCGGAGCGTTTCTCAGTTTCGCAGAGGTAGAGAAATCTAACATTCCGCATTGACAAGCTGCATCTCTCGAAACCGGGAAAGGTAACGACATGTACCTTTCAAAAGCAGTGGATTCCGTTCATCGGAATGCTCGATTTTCGAAAGGTCGAGCGACATTTTAGGTGGAATGGTGTGGAATGGCTTGTTCGTGTTCAGACGCACGTGTACATAAATAAAGGCTACTTACATGACGATTCGCCTAACAATCCTAACGTGACTAAAAAAATTACGATTTGCTGGTCCCTCTACACTTTAGCTTTATCTTGAGTTGCTTATTGTCAGAAGAGCTAGAAAGGGCAAATAGTGAGAACTATGAGGACGCATGAAAGTCAACGTGAGAATTCGAGCTCTGTCGAGTTCCAAGTTTTCTTCGGCACGTGCATCAGGCTACAGAGAAACGCTATTTTACGTGGGGAGAGAGAGAAAGAGAGAGAGAGAGAGAGAGAGAAGAAAATAGTGCCAAATTATTGCCTTGCAGAAGAACGCTGCAGGTGACAAACTCAAAGATTGGTGGAAAATGCGATAAAGTATCATGCGAAGTGTCGATTATATTTTTCAAATACCATGCAGCACATTCGATTATATTGGGAGGATCGATCAGACATGTCAGAAAAAGAAAGCTTGCATTCCTTTTGAAAGTCCACTTCTCCATTTCACCTGTCTCGTGTGATAAATCATATTTATAATTCGCATCCAGCTAGATTTTTTCATCGCGTGAAAGGAAATTTTCATTTTCACGATTGATCTTGCCAGTTGACGCTCCAAGTATCGACAGCGATTGTTATTATTTGTCTAAAATCGGCATTCAAATCGCGTGTAATTCACTGTAACGATATATTGAGTAATTTCTCTGGGACTGTGCATACTTCAAAAATATATTTACCTTTTCGAATCGCAACTGTATCAATCACCACCGATATAGATCGAGTATTTAATCTGTGAGTAAGGAACACGGAGGTACCAATTCTCTCGAATTAATGTATCTAGAAATTTTGGGCATGGGATTTGTTTTCTTTCTTTTTTTTTTTTTTTTTTTTTTTTTAAATTTTTAAATCTTTCCGAGTTTTCAAACTTCTCGCGATAAAAATAAATAAAAATGAAGGGCAAGTCGTACCCAGTTTGCCTCGGGACATTGTTAGAGAGGGTGTAGATGGCACGTTGAAACGTTCGTGGCTCCAAGACAAGAATTATCGCTAGTAGGACCACCAATATGGCGGCAGTTACGCTCATCCAACATGCGCAGCCCGTTCTACCGGAAGTCTTCGTCCTAGGCGTTCCCCCAACTGTACCTCGCCGTGTGCTCGAACAAACTGACTGTACCGAACACTCTGTTCCCGTCGCTTAAACATTTCACGTCCTGCTTATGAGTTTTCTATCCGATTTGCATGTGCTCGTTTGATAAATTGATTCGATCCCGGATTCTGCCGAGTCCCACGCCCGTGATTAGTATGGAGCGAAACAGCTGACGATTTGTAAGCGGATTGTCGATTGCTGCTAATCGATTGATCGATTCACGCACGACAAAAGAATATGTTTCGTATACTTTTGAAATATCGATGATTCGAAAGCTGAAAATAGCCCCTTGTTATTCACGACAATTAGACAATAGTTCCCCTCTCTGGGATTAATTATTGTTGATTTCAGAGGCAATGAGTTAAATTGTAATCCCAAATGTAAAAGCTTTCGTTTGATGACTTTTTTTTTTTTTTTTT